GAACGGCACGGGAGAAAAAGGAAAGAGAGGTGCGAAGAGCGGCGAGATAAGAGCCGATGATTATCGAGTGTAGCTACCGTAACTTGACTGTATATATTAATTACGTTGGAGATTCGATAGCACAAGAAACGGTCAATGGATGCTTTACATTTGATAACACAAGTCGACACAACTTCTACCTTTGAATGTCGAGATAGAATGACGTTGTTTGTGTCGACTTGTGTAATAGCAAATTCGATTGGACTCCCTAGTGCGCACTCTGTTGCACACATTAAGAGGATCCTAAAGTCGTCTGTTTTATTTTTCAAATAAATATTTTTCTAACTGCCTTTACCGATTTAACGATAAACGATAATATTATGCGGAAAAACGAAAAAGTTATTACAGTTTTATCAGCTTCTGATGTTGACTCCATCAATATTTGTTTTGTATAAAACTTTAGTACTTTATACATATAAAATGATCTTAGTTTGGACTCTAAGGATTACATGAACAATGTTGAATTCTCAGAACTAGGCGTTGATAATATGAAAGATTGGTTAGAAAATTTAGACGTATGTGTGTGATGTTGATGTATTAGTGCCAATGACACGTAAATTTATATGTGTGTCCTACTGAATCAGTAAAGGATCATTTATATATGCCGTAAACTGTTAAGTTATACCGCAAACGGCGTAAACTATAACAAATTGACCAATCACAGTCGAATGTGAACTGAATGAAGTCAGTTATTCTCCTGAATTGTCCTCACATTCGATGGTGAATGGTCAATTTCTTATAGCTTACGACATAAGTTAACAGTTTATGGCATGTATAAATGATCCTTAAAACAGACGACTTTAGAATTCCTTTAAAGTCGTTGTGCACTGATTTAATCTGAATGGAAACATGAAATGCAATTATTTTAAATTATAAAACATATTTTATATAACGTCACAATAAAGTGGGTTGATTTTACGGTTTAACTGATTTCTATATTTACATTAAACACGTATATTTACATCAATTTGTAAAACGGCTTTAATGCTAAAAGGTTACTATAAATTCTTTAATCTAAAGTTTCATCTTTTCTCTGATGCTTTCAATAATATTTAAAAATATTGTGTATTTTCGTCCTGATTTAGAAACTACATATGTTAAATTGTTCTCTCAACAAATAGTTTGTTGGGAGACCAATTTAACATAGCAATGTTAAGTACTATTAATATTGCTAAGTGACACTGCTCGCATTTAATTGTTAAGTTGACAGTATTCTAAATCTGCGAGATGCGATTGTACACATATTAAACTTCTTTAAACCTAAGAATTTTAAATTTCCAGAAAAAACTTTGCAAAATTTCCTGACTTCCTTCGATTTCAAATTTTGTGGCAACCCAAAATATACACCAATATGTACTGAGTGGGTTCCAATCGAATTCGCTATAAATGGAAAGCACTCGATAATAAGTCAATGACATCGAGAGTTCCGAGGAAACTGGACGAAAGCTCGAGGAGTAAAACGCGAGGATCACTTCCGTGAGAAAAACAAGCCCTACCTTCGCTCGAGATTGCATAACATCCTGACCACGAATGCGGTCGCGGAGGTAATTATTATATTATGATTGTGGGAAAATTAATATTCCCCCCCCCCCCCCCCTCCTCCTCCGTCACCCTCTTTTGATGTGGAACGTGGTACATTATCAATATTCATTTACGCTCGCAATTTAACGAAGTGCCTCGGTATTTAATGTAATATAATGTAACGTATAACGCCGTTACACAGTTTCGATCAGAAATTCGTAGAGTGAAAATCAAACGGGGTAATCGGGGTCACTAGTTACATCGCAAATCATATTTTATATGCTGGCGAAGGTAGAATTATATATCTCGTACACGTTCAGCTTGAAAATCGAGTTACACCTTGCTTGGCTACCTATACGATTAATTACATTGAAAGCATACTCGCGTAATTGCACTGTGTAATACATCCGTCATTTTAACGAGTGCACTATTATGCGGTCGTAACATGTATAAGAGGAAAAAGGGGGGATAATTTAAACAACAATTCTCTAAGTGGGAAACATGGTACGAACTTTTTAAAATTAAAACCCGAGCGAGCAGGGTACGGTTTTAATTGAAATGTGCAAGAAAAAGGAAAATCAACGAGGAGGTATAAGAATAACAGGCAAACGGAGTACCTGATTATATTATTAGCGGAAAAACTTAAAACGGTAGCGCAACGTGACGTAACGTGTAACAGTCTTGCAGTTAAAATCTCGTGATTCTTGTGCGAGACACGTCAATCACGAGAGACGCTGAAGAAACGTAATTATATACAGCGAGTTCCGCGAAAAAAGAAAAAAAAAGACACGGCGAAATTAAATCCGGTCTACGACCGCGGATACGTCGCGCGAAATAGAGTCCCGTTTTCACCCTTCCTTTCGAGGCGAGGATCAATGACACCCCGTTTCCTTTTTCTTTTTATCAAGAAAAATGTCAGGACGTGACGTATCATTAAATGCCGCGAGTTTCGCCTTGGAAGTGCAACGTTACTCAGCGCGTCCACAAAGTCTATTCTACAATTACGTAAGCGTATAGTTGTAAGTGGTCGTAGTTTATAAGAATTGACCAATCACACAGTCGAATGTTCTCCTCGTATTCGGCTGTGATTGGTGAATTTTCTTACAATTACTCTATCACTTAGAACTACTACACTTACGCAATTATAGAATAAACTTTACATATATTACACGAGAGTACGAACTGGAATACCGCGTGCGTCACTATTCTACGATACAAATTGACTCTAATGCAATAATATTAGGAATTTCGCAATCGCCAATTGTTATCGCGGAAACTCCACGGTGTATATTAATCCTGGCGACGGTGTATCACGACCTCTGGTCACGCAATGGGAAGCGTCCTCTTTCATGCGAGCACAAGAGAGCAAGTCGGAAAAAAGGAAGAGATGACGAGGAAAAGAGACAGAGAGAAAGGGACCGGTTATCCTTGGATATCGTTCCCGAAGGAGATTGGAGTCGATTGATAAAATTGCGTGTCGCGCGGTGGAAGTGCCGAAGAATAATTGATAAAATTAATCAGCGATATTATCTTCAATCGTCTCGAATGATTCCGTTTATTTATCTTCGCGATCTCAACCGGATCGGCAAACAGAAACACGATCGTGCACTGAGAATCATAAGCTAAGAAAGAAATGATATCGACGAGTCTCTCTGTCTCTCTCTTTCTCCCGGTCATCCGGACGAAAATTCTCGTTGAAGCTTCTCGAGATTCGCTCGCGAATTTCTCAAGGGACGGACAAGTTCCTTTTCTAGGACACCCTGTAGTGTCCCCGCGAGGCGACGGTGAATCATCCCACGTCGAACGCGATAGACACTTCGTGAGTCGAAGATAACCCGTTTCTTAATCGCCTGTGTGTACGCGTTTACTCGAGCGTGCGTTATCCTCGTGCACACACCGTGGCGGCGTGAACGAGAAAGGGAGAGAAAGAGAGAGAGAGAGGAAGGGAAAGAGAATGACGAGGAAGTGCGCGTGTGCTAGGGGAATTTCCAAGTTCACCAGGCACCTCCATCGATCTGCCGGCTATCGGCGTTGTAGCGGCCGGCTATCAGCCGCCGCCGCCGCCGCCGTCGTTGCTGCTGCTGCACTTTACGTGCCGCGGCGGCGTTCACTTTTATTCGAGGCTAACACCGCCAGGAACCACCACCGGCCGAGCTATCGACCCCTGAACTTGACCCCCATAGAAGCGAAAGCCTAAATCCCACGATTAGAGTCTCCGTGTACAATCCAGCGCGTCCGCGAATCCTTCAATTCGGATTGCTTTTAGGTGCTTCCCTTTTTTTAGCAGACACAAATGTCATCCTATATGTTTGTATTCATTGAATATCACACGAAGGTTAGAACGACATTTGCGTCGACTGTGTTGCGGTGTCTCCTAAAAGAAAAGCAATTTTTACACAAGCATCTACGACGAATTTGGGAAGGAAGGAGGATAGAATTAGTGAATTAAAAATCTGTTATTCCAACGCACGACCTCCGTTCTCATCTCTCTCGGTCCAGAATTTTTCTTTCTCTCTCTCTCTCTCTCTCTCTGCTGCGCGCGCGTCTCGTGTATTCGATTTTTGTTTATTGTGAATTGTTGCGCAATAAACAAGGTACGCCCAGGTGTTGCCCGCGGCTGGTCGTATTGTTCGCGAATCCCCCGATCTCTCTCACGATGGATGCGTTTCCCCCCTCGCGGGAGGAGGGAGAAAGGAAACAATGCGCGATCCCACCCATTTTTCTTCTAAGGGGTTAGCGCGGCCACAATCGATTCTATTGATCTATTCTGAATGGTCTATCTCTATCTTATCGAGGGTCAACGAAACGTTCCGTCCTTGCAAAACGCTGGCAAGTTATAATTCGGTTCCTTACAATCTTACTGCCCCTCTGCGTCACTCTTGAGTGCACCAACCTGAAGTGAGCCATCGTCGCTGCGTATAACGTCTGCCAGCAGTCAACGAATTTATCTAATACCGACTTTTTTTTTTTTTTTTTTTTAAATCTTCGTCTATCCGTCGATGTACGGCGCGAAAGGGAGAAAACTTGAAGGAAGGGATTTGTATGTCTTCGCAAGGATCTGTCTTAAAGTGATCGTATCAAAGGAAAAACGTTGCAGTGTTCAGGACTACACAGAAAAAAAAGGGAAGAATCGTTTCAGGTAGAAAGAACATTATCGTCACACAGCGAGGGAAGAGGAAAAGACGAGTCCTTTTCGCCCAAGAAAGTACACAACACTGAACTCTGTTGAATTAAATGGCGTTCATTGTAACTATACGTTGCACGGAATTATATACGTATGTCAAACAAACCCTGGCCGTGTCGGGAGATCAGAATTTTCTTTTTAAAAAAAAAAAAAAAAAAACCCCCCCCCCCCGAGACATTCGTAGTATATTTTTCTTGCAGGGCAAATTGGAATCTTCATGGAAAGAAAATCATTCTCGGGATTCTTCTATACTCACCATGATTCCGTCTGCGATGCGTGCGCGTTCTCGTAGGTAATCTACTTTTAATCCAAATAACGCGCGTACGTCAAAAATCGCCAGGAAAACACTGAGGAGCCGGAAAATCTCTTTCTCGTTTCTCTCTCTCTGTCACGCAGTTACGATCTCGCGACAACGATCATCCTACCGACCACGGGGACGATCCTATATGTTTTCTTTTCGGTCGGCGAAGGCTTCCGCGTGTCAACGGCCGGTGTGTGTATACGTATACGTGCGAGAATAACGCCACACGATGAAACGCGCTGCGCGATCGGCGACGAACGAGTGTGACGTACTGCTCAACAGTGCTGAACGCTGAACGTAGCCGAGTAACTGACGCCAGCGCGCGAAACGCCGAACGCTCCCCCCTCCTAACTTCGCGTCTCGTCCGTCCTTGTCGCGCAGCCGGTGAGCGCGCGCGTCCCGTCCCTCTCGCGCTCCCATTGGTCCCAGCCGTCCGCGCGCGCCCCGTCGATTCGCAGGATCAAAAACTGTGACGACCTCCTATTCGAATCTGGAAAGAAAAAACGGAAACTACGAGAGATGGCCGTTTTCCTTGGGAAATTAAACAAATTCAGAGCGTTTTGTCGAAAAGACGATTATATCGAACAATTATAATGCAAATAAAGTTTTTCATTTACATATTTACGTTCGTGTTTGCCGCGCAATTCGATTACGAATTACGAACGTTTGTTTAATTCATTAAGTTAATCCACACGCACGTACGCATCGTGGTTTGATCTCGACACGGAATGATAGTTGGGGTGCCACGTTCGCAGCTTGTGGGGACGAACCGCGTAATGTTTAATTCCAACGATCGTCCCCCCGAGGATACCCGACAGCCACCCCTGGGCAACGTGCGCGCGCTTTAATATCGGCCGACGCGTGTTTTTTCCCCCAATAAGCGCATTTTGGTTCTCGAGAGTTTTACAGAGTGAAACTTCATCGTATACATCGTAATTCTTTGTATTAAAAGCCAACCGGCCGAATCGAAGCGCCACGCGGGGTTGGTTTATGCGACATGCAGATTATACATTTAAATAAAATTGTTTTACTCGGCGCGCGAAGCGCGCGTGATCTTCAAAGCGGCGGGTTGCGCGCGCGCGTGTCGTATCGACCCTTCACCATTGGATGACGCATCCTCCAATGACCGGTCAGCCCGGCGATTACGTCACTCACCGGGGGTATATTATTGACGCCGGACGTGTGCAACGGCGTCGCACTGCCGCGTTTCTCCGGGGGGCATCCCTCCGCGTCTTACGGCCCCACGGGATCGTCCTAGGGGTTGCGTAATGACCGGGCACCGGTGCGTTATCGCATAGCAGGTTTAACCCTTTCTAGAGAAAACTTCCCCTCCGGCGCGGACAGAATTCCTCCCTGACAGGAGGAACATGGCCGGAATTCTCTCCGGGAAAGATTAAATCCTGTCGCAAACATGCGTACGCCGCTTCGAAAAATAGATAGAACTCCTTTTTGAGTTATAACCTGACCTGGAATGAAGATGAATCCCCACAGGGATGCAGGGAGAAAGAATGTAATTACGGATGTAGGGGAAGAAAGAAAACGTGTGCATCTCGCACACGGCATTTATTTGTAAGATACAAAGAAAAGGATGAAATTTAGAAACTACCGCTTTTTTGCTTAACTTTGCTTTGGAATTTTTAAGTACATTTGCTTTTTTTTTTTTGTTTCTTTTTGGTTTCAAATTTTTAAACATGAAGAGGATGGTTTGTTAAAGTATCTAAAGGTTTGGCTAGATACGGTCTGAGGAATAATTCTGTTAGGTCATTAAAATAATTATGTGCTATAGTATGTTCAAACTGGTTGCTAAAACGTCAAACTTTTTGCAGCATTGCTGGTTACGCTTGAAAGTTCTACATAATCATTATGAGATAAAAATTGTTTTCAGATCTGCATCTACAGCTAAATTTTTCGATACCTCGACAAAATCTCTTCTTTTTATGAACGTATCTGCGATCTGTGAAGACGATCGTCCGTTTAGAGAGGAACACCCAGCACGAGATTATTACAGTAAAGTGGCGCAGTACGGAATACGCATTGCCGTGTTTTGGCCTTTCCTCGCTCAATTTCAGGAATACAATCTTTATTATATCACCCGTCGAGCGTGCCGTGCAAACAAACCGGGCCGTGCCGGAGCACATCTCGCGCGTTGTGCATTTTCTCGTGAGGGACAGATTCACGCCCTCCCGCCTCCAAAATTAAAGCTGTGGACGAAAATTAGCGTTGTCGTGCGGCCGGAAATCCTTCTTCCTCTGAATGATCGACATTTTATACATTTTTGAAGACCGAATTGCGTCGCGCCGATTTAAATCCACTCATTCATCGCAAATTTCGATCCCAATTTCGTCAATAAGTAAAAGTCAGTCTAAGGCAACTTTGAGCTAACTCCGACTAACTTAACAATTCATTCAATGACGATTAATTCGAGACTGAATTTCGAATTATAATTTTTTTTAAACTTATTAATTCCTGATCTTATTTTTTGTACATTAAACAATATCACAAAAAGTTTATAGTAATATAAAATAGAATGCCAAAATTCTTTTTTTGCGACATTGATTGAGTAATTATAGTATTTTCTACATAATTATTTTGATGAACAAACAAATTTTTAGACTTGTATCTAGCTAACTTTTTAGATAAATTAACAAAATCATCCGTTCTGTGAAGATTTAAGATGAAGCCTCGACCTACAAAGTAGACTCGACTCTCTTCGGAAAATCGGAAATGACTCGAGAGGCACAGAATATCCGTCGCGATCGATTTATTGCGCTATTGTCTCATGATTTTACTTTACAATACTTGGCGCGCGGAACAATTTTATATTTCGATACATTCTAAAAATTTTGAAAGTGAACTTTAATTCTAAATAATGAAATCTCATTCTTAGAAATTTACAATTGAACCACTATTTTTCACTTCCTTTCATTCTTTAAAAATTAGATTTCACTCCGAAGATTTTAGAGAAGAAATTTGTCAAGCATCCTCCGTAAGGTTCGTTACGCCACTGATTGGTAACCATTTAAACGATGAGTTCCGAAGAGTCAATTGTCACGCGAGATCATCACGATATCGATCTCACGCGTACTGTTCCAGTTTCGTCGGTCGGTGTGTTGTATATACTTATAATTGTTAGTGACGGTAAACGGCACAGATTGAAAATGATGATGGACCAGCCTTCAGGACATTAGCCGGTGGGGGAGAAAGGAGGGGTGGGGGGGGGGGAATTAACGCGGCGTGTTGTCGGACTTCCGTTGTGGCAAATTGGTGAACGTTCTCCGGCGACTTACGAAAGATTGAATAAAGGGAGAGTGTCGTCATCGACTTGGAATTCGAATCCCTGAAGTCCTCAAGTGTAGCGATCGTCCTCTCGACTCTCTCCTCTCTTTCTTCTTACCGTTAATCATTCGTGCGTACAGATCGACATTAATTTCGAATTCATTAATTTTCTAGAAAAAGGCGTAATTGCCTGCGAGAGAAACGATGGGAAAGGTATATGTTCTTCCGACTGGCTGGAAACTGGGCTCGAATTCCTACGTCAGAAAAGATGTATTAAAATAATCTCAATATTTTAATATAATATAATATCCTTTATCGTATTTTACTCTAATACGTAATATCTTTGGATAAAGTAATATAAAATTACATTTATCGCACGAAAAGAACGATTTTGCTAAAGTATTAAAAAATTTAGTTAGATACAGATCTAAAAATAATTTTGTTGGAGTATTTAAAATTATGTAAGACTGTGGTTGCTGAAACTGGTTACTAAAATGTCAAAACTTTTCGCAGCATGACTCATCATGCTTGAGATTCCTACAATGATTTTAATGGTCTGGTAAAATTATTTTCAGATCTGTATATCTTGACTAAATTTTTAGATTCTTCACAAAATCGTTCTTTTCGTGCACGATTAGATTCATGAGTGGACTTTTACGCTTCGCTATCAATAAAAACAACACCATTAATTCTCTTTATCATATATGTTATCTATTTTTCCCGCTAAGGCTGTAACTTAATATTCGCTTACATTTCTTCCTGAAGTGTTCGAATTACTTTAATTACGTCTGAAATATGGTTTAATTTTTCTTCCGATATAACCGGACTTAATTCTTTTTCCGCCTAGATAAACTGATGCCGTTCTCGTTGACAGGACTCGAGGCACTGGAGAAGGCCCTTTATTGCTGGGAAGATGCCCTGACCGCTTTCAGTTCGGCTCTTGGCAACGACACTCTGGCCCTGCCGTCGAAAGCCGACGCGGCGTTCACCCACGATGTGCAGGAGCTGCTCGACATGGGCTACCAAATCCAAAGCCACGCGGAATTGCTCTTCCTCGATCAAGTACGGTATCTCTCTTCTGTCCACATCAATTCACAAAACTGATCCGCTGACTCAACGTGACCGCACGAGATCCGATTTTCAATCCGAAGAGACCACTCCGCTCGTCCTTCGCGAGCGGACGATCACCCGATGCCATTCCATTCCGTTGCATTCATCATCAATTGCCCTTCTACCGGGCCGGTAAAAAAATGCGGGAAATTAATCCAATTTAAATGACGACCGCCCCGGGGGTAATTAGCGCAACGAGTCACTTGACCTGACGCCAGCCGTCGGGAATTGTTGCTGAACGTTAATGGCATAGGAAGTGTATGACTTTCTCTGAAAGCAATCTGAGTTTTCGAAACGCGATACATCGAGAATTAGGCGTTCATTATCGCGAGAGCCTGTGATCTACCCATATCGCGTCGAACATCTGACCTTTGTCTAACTTACTTTATCTTCTTGTTTTTTTTCTGCAGCACTCCGTTTTATTCCGCAACGACAGCGAGGAGAGCCTCGACAAACCTTCAAACTTCGGTGCACGGCTATTTGGTTTCAGGGATAAAGCTGACGTCGCATCGTCACCAGAATCGTTCGAATCTGCACGTGACGGGGTGAGTTATATGCACGAGACAGATAAATATAATCTGTCCGTATCCCGCGACAGATTAATGTGTTGAGTGGCTGTGGGACGTTAATATAATTCGAAGACGTGCAACGAGACTCTCGAAAAATTATCAATTATTTTATATCTAATAACATCTACGTCATGTATATATTTTGATAACTGTAAACTGTTTCTGACAATTTTCTTGATACTAAAGAAAAAAAGATAGATTAGCTTACCATAAAATTATTGCAGGTTGCGGATCTGCGTGAATTCGAAGAATTTTCAGAACTATTTCCACACTTTGAGAAGCAAAAGCTTTATCACACTGCTCTTAAACAGTACGAGGATAAAGGCATTCCTTGCAGGTAAACTGGTTCAGTTTTTATACCCTATATCTCAACACATATGATTATGACATATAATCACATATTACAGGAGACTACACACGGAACTCGTAAAGTGCGGATCAGACGTGGAATATTTAGCGAAAGTGTACTGCCTGCGTCAGGCCTATACGAAATTATTTAATTTACCTACAGCAACGGCATATATAGTTGACGTAGGTCGTCAAGTTATTAGCGATTTAATTATGTACGCAGATAGGGTAAGAATATTAATCGAGTAAATAATAAAAGTATTTAAAATGAGTCACTCGGCATTAAAGGAAGAAATTTCTATACAGGATCCTAAGGATTATTTAATGTACTACGAGCGTATGATGGAGTTCCTACAAGAGCCACGCAATCATAGTATCATGGAGGAAGAATTGACCGCCCGAGGTGTCAAATGCATGAACTTTTACGACGTGCTTATTGATTTCATACTTTTAGACGCGTTCGAAGATGTGGAGAAACCACCGTCGTCCGTCAGAGCTATCATTCAGAATAGATGGGTGTCCGCTAGTTTTAGGGAAACCGTATGTATATAAATCAAAATTTTCTATCGCGGTTTCCATAGTTTTCTAATTGTCGATTGTCTTTAAAGGCGATAGGAACGACGCTCTGGTCCGTCCTGGCAGGCAAACGAAAGATGCTGAAATACGATCAAGGCTTCTTGGCGCACTTCTATTCCATCTCCGAGCAAATCTCACCGATGTTCATTTGGGGATTCTTGGGTTCCGAAGAGAGCCTACGTTCCACTTGTCATTATTTTAGAGAACAAGTAATAGAGTTTCTTGTAGATATATTTAATTTCTTTAAGGTACGGTATACCACGGTTGACGATCTTGCCGTGGATATTCTCAGGGAAATGAAGTTAAGAGTCGACAATATAAATCAAAGGCTGTCATTAGAAGGTTGCTAGCCAAATTAAATATGTTTAGGCAACAATTTTAATGCAATATGTTGAATGCGCTTGGGGTATTACAAATTACATTACATATATACTGCGTTCAATGTATGTTGTAAAATAAAATGTTAATCCCAATATTATTGAAATTGAGGCATATGATAAGTTTATAAAAGATACAATACATTATATCGCATTATATTTTAATTTTTATTGTGTCCATAATGAGTAATTGTAGTAAACAGTCTGTGAAATTATCTTACAAAGTAATATCACAGAGGGACACCGCGCACCTTTTCTTTTATCATCAAATTAGAATCACGTATACGTTTCAAGTTTTATCTAACATTTGAATATATCAAAATTATATCAATTTTGAAGAAAACATTAACAGATTTTAATGTCCGATTCTATGAATACAGAAAATATTTAAAAAATTAATAGAAAAATATTTCTCAATAAATTTTACATAAATGGATATCAAAATATTTATTGGATTTTATTTACAAATTTTTGGAAATTAATACATTATGCACACATACAATTAAACACAAGATATTATTTATTTTGACATCGAATAAACGTCAATCATTGTATGATATAAATTTTGTAGATATTCTGTAAATCACACAAGATATGTAAAATATTGAGATCTGTTAATATCTATCAACGTATAACACAGTCGTATTTTTTTATTTTATTATATAACGGTTTCCTTTTAAATATTTTACAAAACTTCGCACAGATTGTAATGATACCTCAGTGATACCTTTCCATATTATTTAAAAGATTAGCATGTATTTTAGTAAAATTAAATTTTATATTAGTTGTGATTTTATAGTTAGTTATGTGGTAAAACTTAGAAGCATTTAAGTGAAATCGTGTAATATACAAATATCATTCTTTACAAATACAAATAAGATAATATACATTTTCTTAAAGTAGTAAAAAAAACCATGTCTAAGTTTTATGAATAAATGTTCCCCACTATACTTTAATTTTATGAGATAATTAGTGTTAGTAAGATACTGAATTTTTTTTCGTCTAAAAAACTTCGTCCAAAAAGTGTGTTTTTATAACAGTTACTATCATATTAAAATGTTTGTAGATAATTTACAAATTATACATTATAGAATTGAATAACAATCCAAGATTAATGCATTGCCAAAGATACATTTATAAAATGTATTTGTATGAATAATTATTATGATGCGTCTTAAGGTAATCAGTTTAATTCTAAATATAATATGCCATATATAGAAGAATATCGTAGACATAGAGTATAGTATAAAAATTCAGTATTGACTATTGATGAATGATGAAAATATATTTCATTATTATTCGTACCGGAAAAAAGTATATGTGATGATAAATACATTAATTTCATGACATTTAATCTTTTCGATATTTGATACAATTTTATAAATAATAATTTTTACATATTTATTTTGTAAATTTATTTTTATGATGTGTGAAATATTATGTGTACCTTATCCAACAAAATATTATTTTTGAATAAAGATATCGTTTTTTTTTATGGAAATAAAATGATAAAAATTATTCAATAAGATCTAAAATAGAACATGAAAAATATACTTATGTTAAATTATTATTACTATTATTCTAGTTATTATAATCAACATCAAGAAATTTAAGAAATTTAATAAATTGTTAGACAATTTTTAGGTACTGAATCTAATAAAAGAGGTATCAGGAATAGGGATAAAATATTAGGAAAATAAAAAATTAGAAATAAAGATTAAATGTGACACAACAGATGCAAAAAATATATAACGCATAATATAGCTTATATCAATCATATTTACATCCACATCATGCATTTAATTCTAATTTTTTTACTTTAATATTTAATATTTATTCCTAATATTTTCTTCATTGTATAACAAGACGTTATTTTCGACTCGTTTGTCATAGAAAAGCTTATTTATAATTTTATAAAAAACATAAAAAATATGTTAATGTACTAAGTTAATGTACTTGTGTACAACTAACATTACAGTGGAAACTGTAAAATGTAATTATCAAAAAATTTCTTGTTTGTACAATAAATATAAAAAATTTCATTCAATTCAGAGATATTAAATTAATATAATATACCATATTAACCGAATTGAATAAAGTCCATATAATTTTCGTCTTCAGATTCTTCTTCATCGCTAGATGGCACAACAGGCATTAAACATGGTAAATTATGTTCGCGTCTGTACCTTGCGAATCTGTTTACTAGAAAATAAAATAAAACATATATATTAATAACAGCGAATTCGGTTGGACGCAGTAATGTGTAATGATGCATATTAAAGCCTTGGTATACTAATTTAATGCATGTAAGAGAATTAAATATGGATATTCTGAATTATAAAATATATATTTTATTTAATAATACAATAAACTTATTAAGGATTTCATTGGTTTAATTCGTTTTTATATTTATATCAAATTAATAAAATTGTGAAGGACTCTTATGCTAATTCTACAATGTGCTTTTTGTTTCCTGTTTCTTGCTGTTTGTCTCTTACCTTCTTGATCAAAAAAGCAAGAGACAGAGACAAACAGTAAGAAACAAGAAAACAAAAAGCACATTGTAGAATTAGCCTTGGCATCAAACAACAATATCAAGAAGTATATAAAAGGATATAATAAGAGTCAGATTAAAAAACTTAACATGAGAAATATAAAATTTAAATTACATTCGTGAAATGTAAGCTATAGATATTATTACATTACATGTTTTGGCATGTTTGATATTGTTAATTAATATTAAACACATTTTTACATCAACTTACGTACGATGGCTTTAATGTGCAATTGTGTCCAATCATCATATGAATTTAATGTAAAGATGCAATCAGAGTCTCACTAAAAATGTTTTGAAACATTTGATTGACCAATCAAAAGAATTTTATTAATTGATCAATCAAAGAATGATTCATTTATAGTATCACGTTGACTCTAAATTTAAAAAAATTAGAAGATTGGAGCCCTGTGTCCATGATGCTATATGAATCAATTAAAGATCTCAAGTTATAGTATCATTGACACAGGACTTTTTAGAATGTGTCTTTGTTCATGTGCAACAAGTAATAGCAAAGCATTTTATAAAATATATATGTATAAATAAAAATAATTACTATCATAATCCTTTCTAATAGGTTCTGTCTCTTGTATATGTTCTGGGTCGTATGATATAAGTGGATTTCTTTCTTTCGACTTGATCAATCTCAACCATGGAAACCCTATTGAAACAGAGATAACAAAATATATCAGAGAAACAAGATATAAGTCTGTTCACAGAAATGAATTTATGATGGGAAAAATTACTGTACATTTGAGTGCCTTTATAAGATAAATCTTAATTTCTCTCACAATATTTTTGTGCACTGTTTTTTCTGCTATCACTGATCCAAACAGATATAGAATGAGATAGTATTTCTTGCTGTTTATTTCTGTACTGTAATGAGATTTGAGATTAGATTATTTCGTGTGCATCAAATGTATATTTCTTCTTTTTTTCTGCCAAGTACATCTAATTACCTGAATTGCAAACAATCATTTTCAACTCGGAGATAGTAGTCGGATACGTCGGTCAACTGAATAGAAATGACGACAGTGAGATCTGTCTGGTACCATTTAATCGTCGGGTTACAGTATTTAGAAACAAGTTCCGGGCAGTTCATGACTTCGTGAAATTTTCTCACCGAGAATTGTTCATTTAAAACGTTTTTTTTTTTAGATAATATGCGATACTTTGCCACAACGGAGATCAGTGTGATAACTGTCGTCACAACTCACAAGTCACGATTTTGAAAATAATTCTATATTTTTAAATATATATACGCGGCATATATATATATATATATATATATATATATATTACTGGTACTGAAAAGCCAT